CTTGCATTCTACCTTCCTTGATGAAAAACACAGTAGGCACAGTTCTTAGTTCTACTGATCATGACTCTAGATGGTTATGATTTCTCAACACTGCCTCCTCTTCCCTATCCCTTAGATGCCCAAGGATCTGAACTGCAGGAAGTCTTGCCTATACATGGGGGCAATAGTTTTTGTAGTCCAACATGCTGTTTGAGAACAGAGTGCATAGCTGGATGTGGTGGTGCACGCCTGTAATCCCAGCACTCTGGAGGCTGAGGCAGGAGGATCACTGTGAGTTCGAGACCAGCCTGGGCTAGATAGTTCTATGTCAGTCTTGACTACATAGTGAGACCCTGTTTCAAAAGAGCGGAGCGTGGTGAGGAGGTATTCTAGGAGACCCTGAGTCCTTTCCCTGTGCCCCTTCTCCTTGGTCCTTAGTGTCAGTCACTCTGGCTAATACCATATAACCACTTTTCATACCCCCTTTCCTAGAGGAATGAGCTAGAAATAGCCAGGTGGTAATCCCAGTGTCCAATTTAGAAAAAATACTCATCTCCTTGTGAAAGATCCTCCTGGGAACAAAAATTGCTACACCAATAGAACCTGGGATTCTGGCGATGAATGGCAAGAGCAGTAAAAGGATTGATTCTATCCTACTTGCAAGCTAATGGGTTAGCCTGCTATAGTTTGGATGCTGAAAGGACACTTCTATGTTAAAAAAAGTTACAGCAAAATATCCATAGAAGTCTCAAATCCAGGAGATTAAATAACTATTGAGAATATATGCCGCATGAATCAGTCAACATGAGGACAGTATCAGACCTGGAAGATGGGGCTGTGGTTGGTGATCAACTGATGAGACATACCTTAAAAACAGCAAACACTGAAAAATCTAGCAGCTGGTAGATGATGCAAAGAAGACTAAGATTAATAAGAGTCAATGAAAAATCAGAAGATAGCACAACATGCATAAAAACCTATTTACAGAAGTAATAGAAATCTTTCCAAGCATGGGAAAGGCATTGGCATATGACAGCAAGGTAGCCAAGTGTCAGTGTATGAGCATGAGTTCCTAGAGTTCTGGTCCCATGGTATGGAGCAGAGAACTAGATGACTGCCACACATAGCTGCATTACAGGGGAAGAGTCCCGGGCTGAAGACCAAACAGGTTTGAGCCAGGAACTCGGGACAGAGAGGAGCCCACAACGGAAAGCAAAATACACTGGCAGCATTTCAGGTTTAACAGAGACATTAATCTCTTTTCTACTCTTTGCATCCTTCTGTCAGTAGAAGAGTATATCAAGACTAGTTAACTTGCTGGGTGTGGTGGCGCACGCCTGTAATCTCAGCACTCGGGAGGCTGAGGCAGGAGGATCACTGTGAGTTTGAGACCAGCCTGGGCCACATAGTGAGTTCCAGGGCAGTCTCAGCTACATACTGAGACCCTGTCTCAAAAAACAAAAAAATACAAAAAAAAAAAAAACAAAACACTTATTTGGAACATGAGGAATTCTTCAGGACAGTGTCCCTAAGAAATTTTCTCATCTTATTCCAAACCAAGCCTTCAGTAGGGCTGTCCATCATCCGACAAGGCTGTCTCCTGGGTGACAGAAGTCTTGCTAAGGATTGAGAGGCCAGCAGTTAGCAGTCCCCTGCTGTACATCTTCCATAGGAAAGAAAATGAGATTTTTGGTAAGAAGTAATGTCATATGGAATGTTGTCTATAGTGTCCTGAGTATGAGATTCAGTAAGTCCACAGATGGGGTGCAGTGAATAAAAGGATAAACCAGGAAAAGCAGTGCAGATCCAGAAAAATTGTCTGTTCCTCTGAAGAACGAATCGCTGCCTTCTTCATGATAGTAGGAGTCTGTTATAATCAGATGGTCGCTGCAGCTGATAAGCAATGGTGTTAGCTATGTCCTGGCCGCCATGGACATGTTACTAGTGAGCCCACTGAGCAAACTGCTGCCTGAGGTCCACAGAGAGGGTCATCGTGGTAGGCAGCCCTCGCGTCACCCCTCCCTTGAGAGACACCGCTGGAGTGGTGGGATGTCTCCGCTGAAGTCAGGTCACAAAGATGGTGACATCTACCCTGCATGGGTTTTCTTGCTTTTTGGTTTACTTGTTCCGTGGAAAGTCAGTTGCCATGCTGTGAAATGACCTTTGGAGAACCCTGTAGCAAGGAACTGAGGGATTTCTCCAGTTCCAAAGCCCACAAAGAACTAAATCCTGCAGTAATCACATGACTGTCCTGGAAACTGATCCTCCCCTGGTCATCCTTCAGATAAAATTGGAACCTCCAGCCAACATCTTAGCAGAGCCTCATTTAAATGGAGGCTCTACATTTTGGTATAGTTAGGGATCAACAACTAATATAGTAATCTTCTAAGGGCCCTTCTGCAATAGGAACCTTTTTGGTGGGCACTCAAGGAGCCCCAAGTGGTTCTCATACTTCAGAACCACTTTGAGAAGACTTGTTCCAAAGAACTGTCCCAAAACATTCATGTTCCCAGTTTCTGACCATCTGGCTAAACTAGTCACTGCTTATGAAAGGGAACTGATGTTTACCTTAAGCTTCATCTTCTTCTGAGGTGTGCAAGATAAACTAAATTCTTCTGGGAGGTTTTTGCTTTTCTCTTTTGCTGTTCTTTGAGGACCTTAGGGCTTTAAATGGTAAAAGCAGCCCATCTTTAGGTAGATCTGTTTATTGACAAAGCTGTTCTCAATCCAGCTCTTTTATTTGCCTCAGTCATCTAGTAACAAGGAATTCATCATTAAGTACTAAATATAAGCTAAAGTTCAAAAGTATGACTTTGTTCGTAGACAGGGTCTCACTATGTAGTTCTGGCCTGTCCCGAACTCACTATGTAGCTCTAACTGGCCTTGAACTTTTGATCCTCCTGTCTCAGCTTCCCAGCACTGGGATGACAGGCGTCCACCAGAGCCAGCTAAAGTATGACTTTAGGCCTATGAGCTACCTGCTAAGGCAAACTGCTTGACTTTGGGCTTTGGTGCCATTCTTTATTTACCACTTTCCCTGATGACAAGACATCGTCTAGGAGAATCAGGTAATTCTCATAAGAAAGCCAGATGCCTTGCAACCAGATGTATCAGACACTACAAAGGTCAACACCTCACCAGGAATTCACATGTACAACTCCGACACTCTAGGAGCCTCTGTGATTGTGTGAAGACCTCCACAGACTCCATAAAGCAGCTCAATCCGCCACCTACACCCCAAACCACAGCGTTTTTGGGATTCCAGGGCCACTCAGCAAAGCTTGCCCTGGGGGCTGGGTCAGGAGAGCCACCTCTTGCTCTGAACCTCGCTCAGAAACGTCACCTTTCAGCTCTTGTGGCCAGTGTGTCCCGTGTACAAGTTAGGGGCTCACTGGACAGGAGAAATTTTAAAAGGGAGGAGAATGAGGCAAAAGCAGCATGTTATGTAATCAAAAGAAAACCATAAAACGTACTCAATCTTTGTGTACTATAAAAGGCTCGTCTAAGAGACTGCCTCAGACTGGAACTATTCCCTCATCCTACTTCAACTATAACTTTTTTGCTTACAAAAAAATCTGGAATTCCAGCCATGAAACATCAGTTTAATAAATTCTGAAGAAAATCTTTTTAACTCATGAAAATTTTATTTCCAAAAAAATTTAATCGTGTGAGAAAATTTAGCATAATTTAATATTTTTTATTTGTTGTGTTCTTTTCAGACAGGGTCTCACGGTTCAAGGCTGGCCTTGAACTCACTATGTAATTCAGACTGGCCTCAAACTCAGCAAGCCTCCTGCCTCAGCCTCCTGAGTGCACCACCATGGGTGTGCACCACCACACCCGGCTCTACTTTAATATTTTTATTTTTATTTAGTTATTTGTTTAGTTTGTTTGAGATAGGGCCTTGCTATATACCCCAGACTGGCTTGGAACAGGGAAATCACCTTGCTCTGGCTCCAGCGTTAGGATTCCAGGTGTGCACCACACACCCCACCTTAGTTTTGTGTTACCAAGGATTAAACCTGGGCCTTCATACTAAACTTCATCCCTAGCATTATTTTTGGTGTTTTTTGTTTTTGTTTTCTGAGACAAGGTCTTGCTAAACTGCTCAGATTGAGTTCAAACTTGCAATCCTTCTGCGACAGCCTCTCAGTGTTCTGGGATTGCAGGGCTGCTCCACTAAAACCTGGCATATTTATTATTTTAATTGTATAAACTTATGTATACAGCGTGTAATGTTCAAAGAAGGCTAGATATTTCTATAATAAAAGTTTTAAAACTTTATTAACACGTAATCACTACATATTTGTGGGGTACAGTGTGCTGTTATTCACATGTGTATAACATGCACTACTCACATCAGGGTAGTTAACATTTCCATCTCCTGTGTTCGCAGCTTTTGAACGCCTTTCAGTTATTCATAAAATAGACTCCTGTAACAGGAGACTGATACAGAACACTAAAACTTGTGCGTGTGTGTCGATCAAAATGTGTGACAGTGATGACCAAGCCACGCATGATGGCCCACACTTGTAATCGCAGTACTGGACGACGCACGACGAAGGCAAGTTGGTGGCCAGCCTGGAGTACACAGTGAATTCAAGGTCAACCTAGGCTAGGAGGGAGACACTGTCTCAAAAACAAACAAGATGGCACGCTTAATATAATCCCAGCTCTCTAAGAGGCTGGGACAAGAGAATCTCTAATTCAAGTCTCTCCTGTCGATTCAGATAGATCGATTCAAAAAACAATAATAAAAAGGGCTGGCTGTGTAGCTCAGTAGTAGAGCGCCCTTGGGTTCAACCTCAGTACCAAAGAAAATTAAATATAAAATAGTGATTGCTAAGACTGAAAGGGTAAGAACAGAAAGGCAAAAAGGAGGCTGTAAAAGCGGTCCCGATACACAGTTTGATTTGGGATTTACTAACGGGAGAGTTCAGGTCGCCCCGGGGGGCTCTAGGGTCCTGCAGGAGGCTGCTGCGGAAGCCCCGCCCCACAAGCCCCGCCCCTTCTCCCCTCCCCTCCCCGCAGTCTCCTCTGCTGCGCGTGCGCGCCGCGGGACTCGGCATCATGATCGTATCCAGGCTCGCCGGTTTGCTTGGCCGAGCCCAGGCCATCGCCTGGAGAGCGGCAAGTAAGGCACCCGGCCGGGGCGGGGTCGCAAAGGTTCAAGCACTCCCGCGGAATAAGCCCTGAGCGCGGCAGCGCCCGCAGAGCTTTTGTTTTCAGCTCGGCCACTGGCGCTTCTGGATCCTCTGGTCCGCGCCTAGAGTGAGAGGTGGGGCAGGCACTTCCGGTCCGCGGCCCTTTTCCTTCCGGCCACGACCCTCACCAGGAAGTGCCGCGCCGCCTGGTTGGCTCTGGGGGGCTGTCGGGAAAATGGTGTAAAAGGTCTTTGGGAGCGGGAGTCGTTTACTCGCTTAAATCTACAAGGGTTCGTGGCCTGTAGAAAAATTCAGAAGTGGGCCAAACGCAGGTTAATATGTACTCTAAAAATTAGGTAAAGCCAGGAATTATTAGTGCAGAAGAAGCTGCATGCTTTCAGTAGAAACCAGCACTTTTTAAACCATTCTTCATGGACTCCTTAAAACGTCACTCAGAAACTCATAGTATGCTAAGCACGATTTTAAGTACAACGTCCTGAAAAGAGGTACAGTATATAAGTAGAAAACAAAATTACTGACTTCATAGTAAATGGCCTGATTTCTGTGCGATTTGTTTTACTTTCCATATCATTTTCCTCAACATGTATTACTGTATTAGTTGTAAAAACCTTAAATCAGAAATGAACGTTATAGAAAATGAACATCTCACAGTATTCGAATCTCAAAGTAATAATTATAATTGTGTCCGTTCAACACCCCTTTTTCACCCACTTGAACAATTATGAATTAGTTCATAACAAAAATTTGCGTAGTGTGGGTATACGTTCTGAAGAAATAGCAACGTTAAGAACCCATTCTCCAGTTTAAGATGCAGGCTGTTACCAACAAGCTGCTTTGTGATACAATCGTGGAAATTAGTACTTTGTAAAATATTTTTATAGAAATAGTTGCATACGGTTTGTATTTATTTGCTTTTCTCAGCTAATACTATGTTTTGAGATTGAACATAGATTTTTGAGGGAGTAGTTATTCAGCCATGGATATATGGCACATTTTCCGTTTTCCTTCTCAGTGGACCTTCGAGTAAATCTAGAATCACCAGGATTGGCTGCTACACAGTGTCTGTTACCCATGCTCGTGCAAGGAGGAGCCGGTGCAGAACAGGGGCGGGGGATGTAATTCAGTGGAGCATGCACAAGCCCCAGAGTTTAATCCCAGCACTAAGAGTTAAAAATGGTATCTTATACCATAAATATATATTTGTGAACCTAAAAGTAAATAACAGGAATATATTGAGAATTTTTAATTGTAGGTGTTACATATTTTAATTGTCATTGTCTTTTTTTCCCATTTTCTATGTCCTTTATATTTTTTTTTAGAAATGAGGAAATGATGTATCTCACATGAACAGAATAGAGCTAGATTTTGGTATTCTGTCACAGTACGACTATCCTTTTTAACCAGAGTTTAGTCCATTTATACTTACTGTAATTACTGATATATGAATGTTTTTTATTAGGCAGGTTAACTATTAAAGAAAAGAGATACAGTTTGCTTTCAGTTGTGGCGATTCAAGGGCATGATGTCATTATGAATCAGGTCTGGTGAGGCCCTCCTATTGGATGGCAGTGGTGGGAGCACATGCAGGAAGAAAAATCACATCTCAGGACAGGAATGTGAAGGTTCTGGCTCAGCCTTTTATAGGAGCTCACCCTGGCTCCAGACAGGAAATCCACTCCCCAGTGACCCCATGCTTCCTGCTCCACCTTGCCCTCACACTTGAGCTCTGATCGGTGAACACAGGGCACACATCTAAACCCACGGAAGCCAAATGCTTTAGTTTTGCAATCTTACTTTTTGCACCTTTGGTCTGTCACACTTTGTTTGAAAACAAATTTTTCCTTCCCTTTTTCTTTCTGCTGGTTGGGAAGACATTCTTAGTTCTGTGTTGGTTTGAATTCATACTTTAACATACATACTTTAAAAAGTCTGTAGTAGGGCCGGGGATTTAGCTCAGTGACACAGTGCCTGCTGCGCAAGCGCAAGTTCCTGAGTTCGATCCCTGGTATCGCCAAAAAAAGAGTCTGAAGTAAATTAATATCCGCAGGCTGAAGAGTAGGAATCTTAAGAATGCTGTGGATTCACTCATTCTCTGCCTCTGTTCAGTCTTGACTGTGTGTGTTGTGTGTGTCTGGATGGCTTGTAGTATATTGAGACAGGGACTTGCTATGTAGCAGAGACTGGCATCCAACTTGCCATGATCCTCCTGCCTTGGCCTCCTGAGTAGCTGGGATTACAAGTTTAGGCCACCATGCCCAGCTATAAACTTTTGTTCAGCTGCTTTTAATATCTTTGATCTTTTTACTTTGTGTCCCAGTATGCCTTTGTTTCTTTCCTTTTATTTTACTTCTGCCACCTATGTGCTATCTCCCCTGGTCTTCCCATTCTTCTGGAAATATGATTAAATGGCTGTTAGACCTTATTTTATCCTACATGTTTTATTTTCATTTCCTTGTTTTTTTAATGTTTAATTTTTTGAAGCTTTATATATTTCCTTCTCTCTTTTGTTTGTTCATTCATTGATTCATGTGTTCATTTGTTTGTTTTTTGCGCTAGGTCTTGCAATATAGTTCACACTGGCCTTAAACTCACTGTGTAACAGCTTAGCCTGGCCTTGAACTCGCAGCAGTCCTCCTGTCTCAGCCTCCTGAATGCTGAAGTCACAGGCATGTGCCACCACGCCTGGCCCAATTCTCTTTTCATTTGTACTTATTTTGCCATTTAACTCCCCACCCCATCCAGTACAGAGAATTGAAATCCCCAGTTACTAAGTTGCATCCCCAGCTTTTCCTATTTTTTATTTTGAGACAGAGTCTCAATAAATTGCCCAGTCTGGCCTCGAATGTGTGATCCTTCTGCCTTGGTGTCCCGAGGAGCTGAGATTACAGGCTGTTACAGCTGTGTTCAGTTGTCCCCCACAGCCTCATGGGGTCGTGGGTGGGGCTTTTCAGAGGTGACCATCTAGCGCGTACGGTGCTGGGATTAAGGGTGTGTAATCACTAAAGCAGTCTGCTGGTTGATTGGTTTGCTGCCGCCTGGATACTATATAAGGGATAGAAAGAGGCTTGCCAGGTCCCTTGCTCTCTTGTTGCTTTTGCTATCTTTGCCTACAATAAACTTTCCCCTCTGCGATGTCCCTTTCCTCTGCTACCCTACCTTGGAGCCAGCCGACTCTGGACTGAAACCTCTGCAAATTGTGAGCCAAATAACCCTTTCCTCCTTTAACTTTGGGTGTCCGGTATTTTGTCTCAGCAATGAGAGAGAAGTTAGTATGTGGCCTGTGCCTGTCCTATTTAGCCTTTTCCTTGAGCTTCAAATTTAAGTTATTGTTATATTTCTAAATGTTTGTGTCTGTTTTCTTCCTGTTCTGCCTACTCATTTTTCACTCTTACTTGTTCCTCATTTTTTGCTGCCTTTTTGTCTCTTGCACTGTATCAGTTAAGTATTTTACATTCCGGATTCAGAGTGGAGTCTGGTTTGGTCCCACTATTGTTTGCTGATCCTGCTGGCTCTTGTGTGGAACTTGTGTTTTGATTGATGCACTGGGATTCCATCTGCTGTTGTCCATGAGCTGTGGGCTGAGCGAAGGTCTCTTCTCCCAGGAGCTGCGTAGAAGCACTTGAGATTTAGACATGGGTCCACTTCGTAGCATGTCAGCTGGAGCGTGCAGTCAGGTGTGGCCTGCTGGCCCTAAAGCTCTGCTCTCCAAGCTCTACCAGGAAGACACAAAGCACAACAGTTTCTGTTTGTGGTGTTTTTTTACTTTTTAATCTCAGTGGTCTGCATTTTAAATTTGTCATTATTTACTTTCATAGAGGTTTTATTAGATTTAGAAGCATTCCGTATATTGAATTAGCTTTTTTGTTGTTGTTATTGTTGTTTTTGTTTTTTGAGACAGGATTTCACTAGGTCTCACAGTTCAGGCTGTCTTAAACTCGCTGTGTAGGCTGGCCTTGAACTCATAGTGATCCTCCTGCTTCAGCCTCCTCAGTGCTGGGATTACAGACAGGCATGTACCACCATGCCCAGCATTTGAATCTGAACTTTCTGTCACTGTAACAAAATCCCTGAGAGAAATCAAGCTCAAAGAGGGAAGATCTGTTTGGCTCCCAGTTTCAGAGGTTTCAGTCCATGGCTGGCTAGCTCCCAGGCGTTGGCAGAAGAAAGGTGCTCGCCTCCTGGCAGGTGGGGGGTGAGAAGGGGCTGGGGACAAGGCAGAGGCCCCAAGGGCACCTCCTATGACTGATCCTTTCAACTAGGCCTGGCATTCAGAGCCGCCTGGATGCCCTCAGGCTAATCCACTGCTGGGGTTGAGCAGCCACGCCTTCAACACAGTGAGCCTTGGGGGTATTTTGGATCCCAAACATAACACCCTCAGATATTCTATGGCTATAGAGTTTTAACATCAATTAATCAAACTTTCAGGAGCAGGGATTCTGTCCTGGTTGTTGTTTGTTGTTGTTGTGTGTGTGTTTGTGTATTTTAGTGATGCTTCCCTCTTTGCTTGTATTATTTCTTCCTTTAATGTGATGGAAACACAATTCTAAATGCACAGGCCTAGGGTCAGGACAGACTACCTCTTCAGGTAGAAAACATGGCTTTTGGCGGTTATTTCTTTATGCTCCTGGAGGGTGGTTTCTGCTTTTGTTACGGAAGGAATCAGTAAGTGACACACAGAGTGGCAACAGAAAGGAAGTAAAATAATGAATTTACTTATCATTAAGGGTCGATCGCACATAAGCCATGCCTGGATCGATGACGCACTGGCTTACAACTCCTCCTTTTATAGGGTTTTCCAGCCTTGACTTCATTTGGGTGGTTACATTTCATTCTCACAGTTCAAATCACGGTCACAGGATAGTTAACTCTCAACCCAGATTTAACAGTTCTTTTCAGTTGGGGAGTTTTACCTTTAAGATTCCCCTAGTTATCTATTCTAGTCCATAGGAAGGGGGTGTTTAGGGTCAGGGGAGCAGATGTTAGCAATGGGTTCTTTCATTTAGACACTCTTACGATCAGGTGGCTCCAGTGACTGGGAGCTCAAGACCTTGCTGACCCTGTTATCTCAGGGTCCGACCAATGCCTCAGTCAGCAGTTAGTGCCTTCAGTGCCTGTTAGTTCTAAGCTAAACAAAGCAAACTGCTGTTAGAGACAGAGAAGCCACTGTACATTGTAACACTTTATAGGTTATACAAGTTTATAAAAGTTTTCCCTATCACTTTAAGTTTGTCAGCCCTTCGAAGTCTGGGACAGCCGAAATGGAATCCCAGTGTCAGGACAGTTGCTGTCGCTAAGCTCCTGCTGCTTCATAGGCAGGTGGTAGGAGAGGTCCCCAGGTTCACGTTTGCCGGTCTGCTGAGCCTTCTCCTCTAATAGGCTCACTTTTTTATTGGCCACCCTTAAAATGAGTTGTGTGTGTCTCACAGCCTCCAGCTTTGTCAGGCTGATGTACATGTTATCATTGAAATGATTGAGATCATTGAAAAGCTCAGTACGTAAGAGAGGTGTTTGCTGTGTGGTCCAGGCTGGTCTTGAACACAGGATCCTCTTGTCCCAGGCTCCCAAGTGTGGAGATTACAAGGATGCACCACCATCCCAGCTTCTTAGATCCTTTTAATGTTCTGTGTCCTGGTGAGAGCATTGCTGACAGGAATCAGTGTTTCTTGTATTTCTGCAGTTTTGATAATGACCAACGCTGCATAGCTTCCTTTCAAACTAGTGACATTGGTCCTATTCTAGGGAGTAGGAGCACAGGCAATCGTTTTCACTCCCTTTTGTGTCTTTTGAGATTTGATGAACGTGAATGTATAAACTAAGGACAGGTAAGTAAAATTACTCAACTTCAGAGCAGAATAAATGAACAGCTCCATTTCTGCCCTGTCCGCTGTGCTAGGCTCGCCCCTGCGCTGTCATTCTGTGAGGAAAAGCAGCTCCTCTCCTGGAGGGAAGTCTGAGGCCACCGCGCCACCCCTCAAGGAGCTCAAGAAGCCCAGGCTCCCGCTCGGTCGTTTTGACGCCCCGGAGGGTTCTCATCTGGAGCAGGAGCCACTGACCAGTGAGTACAGTCACGCTTCTCTCTCCGTTCTGGACGCATGGAGGAAAGTGCTTTAGTCACCGAGGAGAGAATGAAGTATCACTTATAGTTCTTTAATAATCATAATTATTTTTTCAGTTTGGTTTTGTATTGTGGTAAAAACAGACCTAGTATTAAATTTGCCATTTTATGGTTTTTTTTTTTGTTTTGTTTTTATTTTGATTAGTACATGTTTGTAATAGGTAATTATTATATTCCCTGTGTGGAGTTGGCTCGTGTATGTAACACAGCCCAGTTCTTTCGTCATCCCCGCCCTTTCCCCTCCCCCCATCTCCTGATCCCCTTCCCTTTTGAGGAAGACCCATCTCCCTACTTCCTATTATCTTTTATTTTGCTCTTTTTAAATTTGAGTTTCTCGTATAAGAGAAACCATGTGACATTTAAGCTTGTGTGTCTCATTTACTTCAACCATGTATAAAATTCCTGTACTGACCACTGATACGTGTGTTTAAAAAAAATTTCTACCCAGGCATAGTGATAGTGGTGCACATCCATAGTCTGAGTACACAGGAGGCTGAGGCAGGAGGGTTGTCATGAGTTACAGGCCAGCCTGAACTACATAGCAAGATCCTGTCTCAAACAAAATATAACAAAAGGTTAACAGCAGAAGGTGCAATGGATTGTCCTTAGGGGACAGGGCAAAGAGGGGCACGCAAGCCTGGTAATGCTGCTGGGCCTTAAAAAAAGACTGGGAACTCGGTAAGGTGGGCACGGTGCTATGCACCTGCAGTGCAGCACTCAGGAGGGTGAGGCAGCAAGGTAGCAAGTTTGAGCCCTGTTTAGACAACTTAGCAACTGAAGGAGAATCTGTCTCAAAAAAAAAATAAAAAAAGGGCCGGGGATTTAGCCCAGCAGATTTAGCCCTGCCTCGCAAGTGCAAGGACCCGAGTTCAGTCCCCGTACCAAAAAAAAAAAAAA